ACAAAAATCCTCACAACTGGACCAATAAGCAACATCATACAGAAAAAAATTGAAGTTGCCAAGGATTTCATTTTATTGGATCCACAACCAATGCCCATGGCAGCAGCAGTTAAGAAATCAAATGACATATTGCATTTGGCAAATCTGCTGCAAGAGACCTCTTTACAGTGTTAAAAAGCGAAGATGTCACTTTGAGGACTAAAGTGTGCCTGACCCAAGCCATGGTATTTTCAATCGTCTCAAAGCTGCACAACGAATAAGGAAGACCGAAGAAGAATTGATGCCTCTGAATTATGGTGTTCGCAAAGAATATCGAACATACCATGGACTGCCAGAAGAATGAACAAATCTATCTTGGAAGAAGTATAGCTAGAATGCTCCTTAGAAGTGAGGATGGTGAGACTTTGCCTAATGTACTTTGGACATGTTATCAGGAAGAACCAGTCCCTGGAGAAGGACATCATGCTTGGTAAAGTAGGTCAACCAAAAAGAGGAAGACTCTCAAAGAGATGGATTGACACAGTGGCTGCAACAATGGGCTCAGATATAACAATTGTGAGGCTGCTCATCAAAAGGTCGGCAGTTCAAATCCACTAACCACTCCTTGGAAACCGTACGGGGCAGTTCTACTCTGTCCTATTGGGTTGCTATGAGTCGGAATTGACTTGACGGCAACGGGCTAAGTTAGGTTAGTGGGTGAGGGCAGTGGTGGTTCAGTGGTAGAATGCTTGCCTTCCACACAGGAGACTTGGGTTTGATTCCTGGCTAATGCACTTCATGCATAGCCACCACTCATCTGTCAGCGAGGCTTGTGGGTTGCTATGATGCTGAACAGGTTTCATTGGAGCTTCCAGACTAAGATGGACTAGGAAAAAAGGCCTGGCAATCTACTTCTGAAAATCAGCCAGTGAAAACCTTGTGGATCACAATGGTTTGATCCTGTTGTACATGAAGTCGCCATAAACACAGGGCTGACTCAATGGCAGCTAATAACAGTGCTAGTTGGACTTCGTGCTGATGCCCAAGATGACTTATCCCATCATTATTGCCATCACCTAGGACCTTATGGTGTCTTACTATTAGAAAATAAATCAGAACCAAGATCGTATACCAAAAAAACCCAACTTGTTGCCGTTGAGTCAATTCCAACTCATAGAAACCCTATAGGACAGGGTAGAACTGCTTCATAGGGTTTCCAAGGAGTGGCTGGTGGATTCAAACTGCTGACCTTTTGGTTAACAGCTGAGCTCTTAATCACTGTGCCACCAGGGCTCCTTTGCTTAAAAGTCATTTGCCAGGATGCTCTGTGTAGGGCTTAAGATACATATGCTGTTGCAAGTAACAGAGATTAGTTTAAGCAAAGTGGTTACAGTTGCTCCCGGAATTGCAAAGTCCAGCGTTTGGTAGCATCCAAGGTTGTTGACTCAATGGCTCAAGGATGCAGTCACTGACGTTTTTTTCCACCTCTTTGTTCTGCTCTCCAGAATTACCTCCATCCTACAACTGGCTCCTCCTTGTGGTCAAAAAATATTTGCCAGCAACTTTGTGGCTACATCCTTCCTCAGTGCCCATCCAAGGAGAGAGGGATTGTTGCTTCTGATACACAAAAACCAAAGGGGTTGCTGTTGAGTCGCTTCTGACTCATGGTGACCCCATGCATTACAGAGTAGAGCTGAGCCCCACAGGGTTTTCTTGGCTGTAATCTTTACCGAAGCACATTACCAGGTCTTTCTTCTGAGGTTCCACTGGGTAGGTTCGAACCGCCAACCTTTCGGTTAGCAGCCGAGCACAAACCATTTGTGTTACCCAGGGACCCATTGTTGCTTCTAGAGCTCTCTTAAAAGAGTAAGCATGCTTCTCTCCTAGAACCCATAAGCAAGCCCGGGTCACATGCCCATCCCTGAACCGATCACCGTGGCCAGGGGTGGTATCATGTTGATTGGCTGCGGTAGAACCACGTGCCCCTTTCCTAGAATCACCGTGGAGTTAGCTTCCCCCAGAGTACGTGGACTCTACGTAGGTGGTATGGATACTGAACAAAAGCTAGGGTACTTAAATACCCACAGGAGGGAGAAAAGATGTTGGACACGCAGGCACAAGGTCTTATATACATCCTGGGTTTATTTTTTCTGTGAAAAACAATCTTTTCAATTAAAATAATAATTATGTAGAGGACAGAGATGCAGACTTTAAATTGATTTTCCACTGGGGCTGCACCTTCAGTGTTCCTAAATGCCTGTGCCCTACACAGAGATAATTCAAGTACTTAAAATCGCTAACTGTGTTTGTGAGTGTGTGTGTGTGTGTGTGTGTGTGTGCTGATACCATGAAGGGATTTTCCTAGGAAGGGAACAATTTAAAAATCTACAAAAATAAATAGTTGATATCAAACATCTTTGTCTCTAGATTTTCTTATAATTTTCAAATGTTTGCTAAATATTTGTCCTTTCGGGGAGTGAGCTGGAAATAGCAATGGAGAGAGAGTAATCACCTAAAGCATTTTATTGATTTGCCAGAAATGGGTAAATGCATCAAATTAAAAACCCACCCAGCTCCTTCCAGGAGGACATGAGGGCTCTGGAAAAGCTGCGAGGTGAATGCAGGTGGCCGACACAGATGGCGGATAAGACCTTAAACTCCCTGTACTCGATGCCCGTAAGAATATTTTTCAAGCCCTCAGAAACGTTTCTTCTCATGACGCTGGCTGTGTGGTTTGAGGCTCCCCTCCCCCTTATTTCTAGAGAGGTTTAACCAACGAAAGCAAGTTCAGTTCCAAACTCAGAGCTTCACCTGAACCAACAAAGAATCATTCTGTTATCTCAAAACCAAAACCCACTTTAAAAATTATTCATAAACAAAGCTTCTCAGTATTCAAAAGAGGAAATCATAACTTCATTTCAGTTAAAAATAAATGTCTTTTTTATTTTATTTTTTTCCTGTCAGGGTACCATAAAGGATCAAGCTCCTGAAAAACCACAAATAAAGACGAGACAGCAACTGTCCCTGTGGGCACAAACGAGCCATTGTTCTCCTGAAATAGATCTCCCTGGTGTTACCAGTTCAAGAAAGACCTAAATTTGTAGTCTGTTTGGGGAACATTTCTAAGTGCGGTTTACCGCCTTTTTTACCTCAGAAGTTGCTCCCTGTAAACATGGCCATGTTACAAACACCATATGCTTATACATACACACGGAATATAAAAGCAGGCTGATTGCTTTAGGACGGTTTCCAGAAGCAGACCTCTGCAGAGGTACTGTTTTTATGCCTTTTATGGAACCTGGAGGAGCCCTGGCAGTGCAGTGGTTAAGCGCTCGGCTGCTAACTGAAAAGTCAGTGGTTCAAACCCACCAGCCACTGCTCCGTGGGAGAAAATTGTGGCAGTCTGCTTCCGTAAAGACTTACAGCCTCGCAAACCTTATAGGGCAGTTCTGCTCAGTTCTACTAAAAGGTGGTTATGAGTCGGGATCGACTGGACGGCAGTGGTCTGGAGCCTTGATTGCAATATAAAGCACTTAAAAACCCCACAGGGTTGGACAGTGGTGATGTCTGCACAACACGATGAACGTAATTAATGTCACTGAACTGTATGTGTAAAAAATGTGGAAATTGCAAATATTTTGCCATATATATACTTAACCAGGGGAAAAAAAGAACAGTTGCCATTGAGTCGACTCTGACCCGTGGTAACTCTATATGTCAGTAGAGCTGTGCTCCATAGGGTGTTCAATACCAGATTTTTTGGAAGCAGACCTTTCTTCCTACTAGTTTGTCTTAGTCTGGAAGTGCTGCTGAAACCTGTGTTCAGCACCCTAGCAACATGCAAGCCTCCACTGACAGACGAGTGGTGGCTATGTCTGAGGTTCATTGGCTAGGAATTGAACCCAGGTCTCCTGCATGGAAGGCAAGAATTCCACCACTACCATCACTATCCTTTTACAGAATATTAGCACTGGAGATTTGACACACTGAGATCTTTTGGTCCAGTATTTTCCACAAAATATGGTAGCCGTATCACTTATGGTCGTCCATGCAAAAAGAGCAAGTTGTATAACTACCCAGTTCCATTTTTCTGAAAGTGAGTGTTTGCCTACACCCCAGAGGAGGGAGTTTAGGTGGAAAAGGAGGCAAACGTTTTATTCCAGATTGTTCTCTTCAGTTGGGACATTGGTTGGTTGCAGTGAACATGTATTACTTTTTTTTTTAGCATTTTAATATTTTAAAAGTAACACATGGCTAGTTTGTTAAAATAAATTTAACCCACACTGCAGAAGCATTCAAAATGAAACTAAGGTGTTTTTAAAAACGGTGGGTGTGGGGTGGGGTCCTTTACCCGGTGGCTTAGTTATCTAGTGCTGCTATAAAAGGAATAGCCACAAGTGGGTGGCTTCAACACACAGAAGTTTATTTTTTCAGAGTTTAGGAGGCTAGAAGTCCAAATTCAGAGCGCCGGCTCTAGGGGAAGGCTTTCTCTCTCTGTCTGCTCTGGAGGAAGGTCCTTCTCTCTTCAGCATCTGCTTCCTGGTTCCTTGGAGATCTCCATGTGTCTTGGCATCTCTCTTCCCCCATCTCTGCTTGCTCACTTGTTTGCTGAATCTCTTTTATATCTCAGAAAAAATTGACTGAAGCCATACTCTACACTAATCGTTATAATGGTTATGCATTGATTTTAACATGTATAAAATACATCTATATCTCCAGATCTGTATCTAGCTAAGTAGTCACTTTATCTGTAGTACCACTCAGGATGGACTCATTACCAACCTCCAAGGCCAATGGCTTTCTGGCTCAAGTGGTTAGCATGTGAGACACCTGGCTATGATGATGCCCAGATACGGGGAGATGAATCCCTCCTAGCGCCCTGCCCTGGTGCTTGTGGACAAGCGTCTCCTGCTGTTCTCACACCTGAGCAGCCCCGGAAGGATGGAGATTTCACCACAGCACCCAGCTACCTGCTTCAGCGGCAGGCTTCCTTTCCCCGAATCAGACACAGCAGTACCCCTGATTTTGAAATATTTAATCAAAAAAGAGTCTGGCATTTTAAAAGTTAGATTTACAAACTTAACACATTCTTAACATTAGCAATTGACCTATTTATTACACATTGTCTAAGAAAATAAGGTTTATCAAGACACCAACAATATACTCAAGAGTTCACTGTAACGGTATTGAGCTTTGCAAATAAGTATCCAGTTTAACTGTAACAAACCACTGTGAGCCAATTTAACTAAGTATATAAAAACATGAGTTAAATACTATTCTCTGGAAATATACATTATACCTACAGCTGTTTTTACAGTGAGGATCCTCCTATTATTTTTCCTTTTAATTATCAAAATGGCAAATCACTGTACGGTCCTGGACCTCCATGCAACAAAACTGAAATAGGTGTTTCCAGCATAGCAGATGGTGACCAGGAAGGCAAAGAACTGGAGAAAACAAAGCAAAATGGAAAAGGGGGGTTAGGGCACGTTCTAACAAGGAAAAGTTACCACTTCACCTCTACTGAATCATGCATTCCCAGCATCCCCCCGATGCCCGGCCGCTTAACCTGGAAACTACGTTATTGCTTCAATTACCTTCCCTCTCAAACGACTTGCTGCCGTTTTTATTTTCTGGAGCACATCTGGAAAGCCTGTAGTTATGCTCAAAAAACTCTAGAGAGTTCACTTAGGAGCACCTATGATGCTGGTTGGAGCCCTGGTGGCACAGTGGTTAAGAGCTCGGCTGCTAACCAAAGGTCGGCAGTTCACACCCACCAGCCGCTGCTTAGAAACCCTATGGGGCAGTTCTACTCTGTCCTATAGGGTCACCAGGAGTTGGAATCGACACAATGGGTTTGGTTTTTGGTTTATGATGGTAATGCATCTGAGAAAAGTACGTGCACTTCTAATTTAGCGCAGGCAATTCTATTCCAGGGCTCAACTTCCGATTGCCACAGGGTCAGTTAACATAAACGAGTCCAGCGGGCCAGAGTAAGCCGTGAATCCACGTGGTCTGTGTGGTGTGGACGCCGGGTGACCGGCAGAGCGCAGGCCCTTCTTAGGGGGCGGCCACTGCCTGGATCCAGGCAATTGTTCCTATGTGTTAACTTGAGCCCAGCATGGCCAAAGCTTGTGATTTTTTAATCTCGTATGCACCCGTGCTCTCTGCCTTTAAAAAGAGATTTTCAAACATGAAAATAAGTAAAGAATATAATAGAAATTTTAAACTATAAATATAAGTAAAAGAATATAATGAGCTCCATGTACTTATCAACCAACTCCAATATTATTATCATTTTGACATCCCTGTCTATTTTTTACACCATCCCCCAACCCTACTTTTTGGGGAGCTGGAGTATTTGAAGGCCAATCTCAGAGAAATTCTTAAAATCAGTCCTGTAAATTGGAAAACTAATACACCTTATGGTTAAAAAATGCAAACAGAAAATAAAACGCAAACAGTACAGAAGCATCTAAATTAAAAAGTAGAAGTCCTTCATTTCACTCTCTTCATCCCCCAAGCCCAGTCCCTGGAAGGAACTCCTGTTGCGATATATTTTTTCTAGGCATTTTCAATGCATATACGATCATTTCTACTAAAAAACAAAACCAAAAAACAAATAGAATCAAATTGTGCCCCTTTTCTGCAGCATTGCCCCCACTGAATAAACCGTAGGCAGTAGAATTATTTATTCTTAGATGCCTCAGACACATCTCTCCCCTCCAAGTACATCTTGTTTTTCCACTCACTTGGCTCTCACTCAAGTAGTTTCTCAACCTTTTGGGCTTCAGGCCACTAGAAGGCCCGGATGCTCCTCAGACCAGTTAGTCAATTGCCAATGAGTCATTACCGCAGATGGCACTTGCTCTGGTCCTCTGCCCTGGTCCCAGGCAGGCCCCGTCCACAGAGGGAGCAGGGGATCGTGGGGCACGAGAGGGCTCACTCACCGATGAGGCTGCCCAGCTGTTGAAGTTGTGGCTGTCCCTCTCCGGGGAGACGGACGATGCATCCACCACGGCAGCTGAGAGGTACAGGACAAAGGCACTCCCGTTAAACCACAGGCCCTGGAGAAGCAGGGGGCAGAGTGATTAGGGAGTGGGGGAAGGCCTGGGCGTCAGGGCTGGGCAGCTCTGGACCCCAGGAGTGCTCAGAGCTGCACTTCGGGTGTGGGAAGGGCCCGAACTGGACGCTTGGGGCTTGGGGGAGGGCAGAAGATGAGGGCTGCGAGAAGACAGTTCCCCAGTGCCTGGGGGGGCAGGGAAGACAAGACGAGAGGGTCTTACACCAGCTTTTATACAGCACACCCAGACCCCCACCCCAACACCCAGACTGCATGCTGCCCTTCAGCCACTTCTCTCTTCAACTGACTTTTTTTATTAAAAGAAATTTTATTGTGGTAATAAATAATAAAAATTTTGTCATTTTAACCATTTTTAAGCGTACAATTCAGCGACATTAATTACATTCACCATGTCATAAGGAAGATGGAAGAAGAATTGATGCCTTTGAATTATGGTGTTGGCGAAGAATATTGAATATACCACGAAATGCCAAAAGAACAGACAAATCTGTCTTGGAAGAAGCACAACCAGAATGCTCCTTGGAAGCAAAGATGACAAGACTTCGTCTCACATACTTTGGACATGTTGTCAGGAGGGATCCGTCCCTGGAGAACGAAATCATGCTTGGTAAAGTACAGGGTCAGCAAAAAAGAGGAAGACCCTCAACAAGATGGACTGACACAGTGGCTGCAGCAATGAGCTCAAGCGTAACAACGATTGTGAGCATGGCGCAGGACGGGGCAGAGTTTCGTTCTGTGGTGCACGGGGTCGCTGTGGGTCGGCACCGACTTGACGGCACCTAACAACGTTACACAACCATCACCGTGATTGTCGTCTCAAGCTTTTCATCCCCTCAAACAGACACTCAGAACCAATGAAGCAATCACTTCCAATTTCCCCTTCCACTTGGCCCCCCGGTAACCGATAATCTACTTTGGTCTCTAGGCATTTGCCTATTCTGGGTATTTCATAGAAGCGGGAACATACAACATCTGTCGTTTTGTGTCTGACTTATGCCGCTCAGCACAACATTGTCAAGGTTCATCCATGTGGCAGGCAGGTCGCAGGACTTCACTTCTCTCTATGGCTGAGTGACAGTCCACTGGCTGGATGGACCACATTGACCTGTTGACGGACACTGGGCTGTTTCCCCCTTTTGGCTACGGTGAACAGTCCTGCACTGAACACTGGTATACCTCAGCGTGCTCCTGCTGCCCATTTCACCCAGACTTCAGCTGTGGTGATGTGCTGGCTGAGGGAGGCAGGCAGCCGTAGGGACCACGCTGTGAGTTTCCTCAGCTGTGGTCCAGCAGCAGCTGCAGCCTTTCATCACATGGCCCCGAACAAGAGCTGGGCGAGAGCTTGTCCTAAAACAGGCCCAGCTGATTTTTCCAACCCCCATGCTCTCAGCATGGAGGGACCCTTTAGTGAGCTTCTCTGTCCTAGCAGCAAGTTCTTCAAAATAAAAAGTTTACAGATATTAACCAAGCCCTCAGAGCACTGATCTCACTCTTGGCTTCACCTTATTTTTCCCTGTTCTTGGAGAAGCAAAAAAACCCAAACCTGTTGCTGTTGAGTCAATTTTGACTCATAGCGGCCCTACAGGACAGAGGAGAACTGCCCCATAGGGCTTCCAAGGAGCGGCTGGTGGATTCAAACTGCTGACCTTCTGGTGAACAGCTGAGCTCTTAACTACTGTACTACCAGGGCTCCTACACTTCTATAGTGGGGGTTAAATTTATTTTCCTTTAACAAACTAGCCATGTATTACTTTTAAAATATTAAAATGCTAAAAAAGTAATACATGTTCACTGCAACCAACCAAAGTCCCAACTGAAGAGAATCTGGAATACAGTTTGCCTCCCTTTCCACCAAAACTCCCTCCTCTGGGTTATGAAACACCCACTTTAAAAAAAACAGAACCATGTCGTTGTACAACTTGCTCTTTTTTTTCCCAGTTAAAAATATTCTAAAGGCATCTTCACATGTCAGTTTAAATGGACTAAACTCATTTCTTCTCGTGGATGTATGCATTCATTCCACTGTACTGATATCTCCTAATTAAACTTTCATCCTGTTTGCAGGCATTTCAATGTTCCTAGTTTTTCCATGACAAACACGGCCACCATGAACATCTTCCAGCACGTATTCTGGAACACCTACGTGTGTGTGTCCTGGTGGCACAGTGGTCAAAGCGCTCGGCTGCTAACCAAAAGGAGGGCGGTTCGAACCCACCAGCTGCTCTGCAGGAGAAAGATGTGGCAATCTGCTTCAGTAACAATTTACAGCCTTGGGAACCCTATGGGGCAGTTCCACCCTGTCCTGCAGGGTCGCTGTGAGTCAGAATCGACTCAACGGCAGTGGGTTATTTGTGCCTAGTTCCTTCCACAAGGGATGAGGACGAGGGATGAGGATGAATGAGCAAGAGCTCAAGCTGGCAGACAGCGCGGACGCGGGTCCTAGGCCTTGTCCAGGCAGCAGAGTGGATGGAGGGAGAGGGCAGATAGGAAATGGCGAAACACCCCCTCAAAATATGATCTGCTAACATGTGCAATGGGAGCCCTGGTTAAGAGCTCAGCTACTAACCAAAAAGGTCGGCAGTTCGAATCCACCAGCTGCTTCTTGGAAACCCTATGGGGCAGTTCTGTCCTACTGGGTCGCTATGAGTCAGAACGGACTTGATGGCGACGTGTTTTCAGTTTTTAACATGCAACGACCCTGTCTCTCAGCAAGTGCTGCCCAGTGCATTTTTCTCTAAGGAAATTAAAACTCCACTTCCCTTGGACAGAGCTGGGGAAGGCGGGCTGGTGGAGAGGCAAGTAGAAGGCCACTGGGGCACCCCAAAGGTTTATTACAAACCTCCAATGATGCCGTCCCACAGTTCCTAAATGTTCAGCTCATCCAGGAGCCCTGGTGGCGCAATGGTTAAGCCCTCGGGTCAGCAATGTGAACCCACCCAGTGGCTCCATGGGAGAAAAGACCCAGCAATCTGTTCCTGTAAAGAGTACAGCCTTGGAAGCCCTATGGGGCTGTTCTACTCTGTCCTATAGTACCATTGTGAGTCGAAATTGACTCAGTGGCACCCAATAACAACAATGACACTGCTCACAGTGCCTGAATTTTCAGTGTCCCCGTCTCATTTTATTTCACAATCCCAAAAGTCAGTGTGTCCCGGGGCTGCCTGGGTTGGGAAGTTGTAGTGAAAAATAGGGGACGATGGAAAACAAAAAACCCAGAAAAGAAAAATAAAAAGAAGAAACAGGAAGGCAATCAAGATCTGAGATCATCATAAAGGTTAAAAAGGGAGGTGGGGAGACCTGGGTGGCTACAGAAGTGAAAGAGGAGTACAGAAAGCTCCAGAGATTGCTAGAATGTTACTCAGCTTCACGGCAGCACAAGGCCTTACTGCTCTGGAAGAATAGGCCCTGCATCAAAGCCTTCAAGACTTCAAAGCCCCTCAACCTCAAACGCCTGTTTTGGAAGCATTCCCAGTGCTGCAGAGAAGAGCAAGCAACAAGCGCCGTGTAGGACCTTACAAAGGTTTCCAATTGTTCTTTCTTCTTTTTTGGAGGAGGGGGAAGACTGTTCTTTTCTAAAATACTATCCCTCTTTGGTATAAAAAGATCCTTTTTTTTCCTCCCAAATGAAGTCACACACACACAAAAACCAAAAACAAACAATACATTCCAAACAGCTGGCAACCCTTTGCCGCTCCTCTACCACGCCTTACTGGTGTCTGCAATTAAAAGACCCAACTGCTAATAATGTCTAGTCCTTGGTAGGGAGGATTAGATTCTTTGAGATCCATGGCAATTTCCTGAAGGCTTTGACCAGGTCACAGAACTCAGAGCAGCGCTTGTTAGAAGTGGCTCCAGCCACCCAGTCTGGCCCTGCACAAGCTCCCTGCCCTGGTGGTAACCCAGACTCCACGTGAATAGCTCCAATGTCAGGACCTCACTACCCTCAGCTCACTGCTCTGAACTGGCTCCTCCACTGCTGGACAGACTTAAAGAAAATAATCCCACATGTCAGACAGCAGTATTATACACACATTGTTAGCTGCCATCAAGTGGGTCCCCGAATCCTGGTGACCCCATGCCCGACAGAACAAAATGCTGCCCATTACTGCGTCATCCCATGATTGCCTGCAGATCAGACTATTATGAGCCATAGGGTTTTCGTTGGCTGATTTTTGGAAATAGATTGCCAGACCTTTCTTCCTAGTCTGTCTTAGTCTGGAAGCTCCACTGAAACCTGTTCAGCAACACAGCAATATGCAAGCCTCCACTGACAGACTGTGGTGGCTGTGCTGGAGGTACATTGGCCAGGAACTGAAGCCAAGACTCCCACATGGAAGGAGAGAATTCTACCCCTGAACCACCAACACCCTCATATTATACATACAGCAGATATCAAATACTTAGACTGAATTCAAAGGGTTAGGATTACGCTTTAAGCTGGCTGATGCTTACAAGGCCACGCACAGTACCTTCTGGTTTATATGACTATTTCCAACTTTCTTTCAGTCCCTGAATGGGAAAGGTATATAGAGGAAGTCTACTTACAACTTCTCTACATATTAAGAGAAGTTTCAGGTCTGAAGATAGTGGGAAGAAGCGCTGAGAGCTGAGATGATACATAACTAGTACGTGGATCTGACCCAAATGGCGCAGGACCGGGCAGTGTTTCATTCTGCTGTACGTAGGGTCGCTGTGAGTCGGAACCGACTAGACTGCCCCTGACAACAACCACAGGTAAGATAGTCTGTCCCTACCTTGCATGGTAGCAGGGAAGGACTGCCCAATAAGCAAGGTACACACGGGCTTACTTGCGCTTACTAATCCATAATGCACAATTTCACCTGTTTTTCACCACATGAAATATGTGGTGAAACCCATGTGAAATTGTGCACAATAGATTAGTAAGTAAACACAAGTGAGCCCGTGCGTGCCTTACTTACTGGGTAATCCGCCCCTGCACAGTAGGACTGCATAGTGGCCAGA